ACAAAACAAATAATAATGATAATAATGATGAATCGAAACAACAGTCCCCAAAGGCCAACAGTTATCAAAAAATGGCATTTACTAAAAACTTAAATAGTTCCAAAAGTGCAAAGACGAAAAGTGTCACATTTTGTATATAGAAAGGAATTATGTATTCATAAATCCTTTGATATCAAGGTACATGCATACATTGTGTAAGTTTAATTTTGATCAAATGTTAAAACGAGTGCAATAAATTCAGTAATGAACTTACATCAATTAGTTCTGTCGAAATAGATGTTTAAAGGTTTTTCTATTTTTAGCTTTAGCGGCCCCTAAAAGGGGCCAAACAAATTCATATGAGCTAATATGCTAAAAGATTTCCCAAGAATGCTACAGACGAGTCTCTAGGGCTAAAAACCTTTAAACATCTTCTTCTACAGAACTAATGGATGGATGATCACCAAACTTTGTAGCATTCACGGGTAGTGTTTTATCAAGTTTGCTTGGCCCCTTTTAGCAAAAGCTAAAAATCACGGGGGAGGAAGTGTTACACGAAGGATGGAGTTCTTATGATAACTTGTTCAGGAGTTCTTGTGATAACTGTCACAGAGTTCGTCGGAAAACATCTGTATATACTACAAAAACACTCGTTAAAAGTGGTTATTTTCATCGTTCAAAAATGAGTTTAGGTGCTAAATTAAACTTTAATGATTAAGCTTGTCTTACATCTTGTATTATGGGTCAAAAACTAATTCACATGCCATTTTTAATCGCCTCTTGCTTCAAATCTGGTAGTTTTGAGAAAAATTTCCAAATTATTTGTCAATTCACAAGTATTTACCTGTTTATTTCTGGTCTTCATCCTTGCCATACATAATTACCTAATTATAATGCAAAATTGCAAACATAAAGCACCTGCTAACAGATTTATACTCGATTTTTCAAATGTCCCGGAGTTCTTGTGATAACTCTGAGGATGTCACAGAGTTCTTATGATAACTATTGTTATTGCCATTGTGTTTCTTGCGCTAAATCACGGCACGTTTTAGCGTTTTTTATTATTCAATGAGATTGTAAATCATTATGAAATGTAGTGCGCTTATCCTTTGCGCAAAAAAGGATATATAATGTTGGTTTTGAGTGAATTTTAGTTCAAGAGATATTATGTCTTACCCCCCGTTTCTTTTTCATAGTATATTTTTTTGTTTGAGACTGGAAAAAGGATTCATGTACTGGTTTCCTAGCAGTTTCCGGCCCCTAGCAGTTTTCTGGCCCTTTATCATTTTAATCCAGACAAGCAATTCTCAGTTAAGCATCTATGTTACTGCATCAATCAGAGAAACATTTGTTTTCTATGTAAAACAGCAGTTATAATAGTACTGCGATTAATATGTTTCAAAGTTTTGTCAGTTGTTTAATTAAAGTTACATTAGAGAACTTGCAACACTTACAAGCAACACCTGGGTGATTCTAGTTTAAATGCCCATGCACAATAACTGAAATCCCATTCTAGGTAAATCTGGAACCTGGAGGGACAGTTCAAATTTTTTCGAGAGTTTGGTAGATAGAGCCAACCGCTGTTGAGTCTTTATCATGTATCGTACTTTTTTAAGACATAGGTGGGAAATTATCCTGGTTATATACTTATTTATTTATGGTATAAAATGATACATATTACTTAGCCCTTAGGTAAGGAAATATGCCTATATATTGTCTGCTTAAGAAAGGTGGTTGCTTAAAACATGTGAAACTGAGAACAACGTGTACTTTTTGAGACATCTTTTGTTTTGTGGTTTAAGCCATTATACTGCTGAATATCAGTGGCCGCTAGTTCAATTTTTACTGTTGATGATAGCCTATCACCTATTTATCCTTTGCAGACACTAAAGACCAACGTTTTGCCCACATTTTTGTGCAAAGGATGATCGTTCTGCATTTCATAATGATTTACAATCTTATTGAATGATAATAAAAGCCAAAACGTGCCGTGATTTAGCGCAAGAAACACACTGGCAATAGCAAAAGTTATCATAAGAACTCTGTGACATCTTCAGAGTTATCACAAGAACTCCGGGACATTTAAAAGATCGAGTATAAATCTGTTAGCAGGTGCTTTATGTTTGCAATTTTGCATAATATGTACTAGTAATTAGGTAATTGTGTATGGCAAGGATGAAGACAAGAAATAAACCGGTCAAAACTTGTGAATTGACAAATAATTTGGAAATTTTACTCAAAACTACCAGATTTGAAGCAAGAGGCGATGAAAAATAGCATGTGAATTAGTTTTTGACACATAATACAAGATGTAAGACAAGCTTAATCATTAACGTTTAACTCATTTTTGAACAATGAAAATAACCACTTTTGACGAGTGTTTTTGTAGTATATACAGATGTTTTCCGACGAACTCCGTGACAGTTATCACAAGAACTCCTGAACAAGTTATCATAAGAACTCCATCCTTCGTGTAACACTTCCTCCCCCGTGAAAATAGAAATACCTTTAAATGTCTATTTCGATGGATGATCACCAAATTTTGTCTGTAAGCATTCTTGGGTAGTCTTTTATCAAGTTTGCTAATATGAATTTGATTGGCCCCTTTTAGGGCCGCAAAAGCTAAAAATAGAACTACCTTTAAATGTCTATTTTTACAGAACTAATTGATGGAAGAACATTCTTTGGTAGTCTTTTATCAAGTTTGCTCATAATAATTTGATTAGCCCCTTTTTGGGGTCTCTATAGCTAAAAATAGAAATACCGTTAAATGTCTATTTCTAAAGAACTGATTGATGGATGATCACCAAACTTTGTCCGTAGCATTCTTGGGTAGTCTTTTATCAAATTTGCTCATATGAATTTAAATGTGTATTTCGACAGAACTAATTGATGGATGATCACCAAACTTTGTCTGTAGCATTATTGGGTAGTCTTTTATTAAGTTTGCTCATATTAATTTGATTAGTCCCTTTAAGGGGCCGCTTAAATTAAAAATAGAAAAACGTTTAAACATCTTCTACAGAACTAATTAATGGATGATCACCAAACTTTGTCTGTAGCATTTTTGGGTAATCTTTTATCAAGTTTGCTCATATTAATTTGATTGGCCCCTTTTAGGGGCCACTAAAACTAAAAATAGAACAAGAAGCGCCGCAATGCGACGAAAACCAGGTTTTCAACGACCAAGTTTTGATCAATAGGTCAAAGTGCACTGAAGTTATATATAGAAGCTCAAAATTCTATTTTAAGCAAATTACATTGACCTTGCTCCCAGATATCTAAGTGGCAATCCAAAGCTGCCACTCAGCAAGTTTGGTGTCAAAAGGTCAAAGCAAACTAAAGTTATAACATGAAAACTAAATACATTAACCTTGATCACAGACACCTGGGTAGCAATCCCAAGCTGCCTCTTGATATAAGCTACCCATTCATCAAGTTTGGTGTCAATAGGCCAAAGCAAACTCAGGTTATTGAGTAGAAACTGAATTTCTATTTTTAGTTACAGTGACCTTGACCTTGATCACAGACACCTGGGTAACAATCCCAAGCTGCCTCTTGATATAAAGCTACCCATTCATCAAGTTTGGTGTCAATAGGCCAAAGCAAACTCAGGTTATTGAGCAGAACTGAATTTCTATTTTTAGTAACAGTGACATTGACCTTGATCGCAGACACCTGGGTAACAATCCCAAGCTGCCTCTTGATATAAGCTATCCATACACCAAGTTTGGTGTGAATAGGCCAAAGCAAACTCAAGTTATTGAGCGGAAACTGAATTTCTATTTTTAGTAACAGTGACCTTGACCTTGATCACAGACACATATGTAGCAATCCCAAGCTGCCTCTTGATATAAGCTACCTACACACCAAGTTTGGTGTCAATAGGCCAAAGCAAACTTAAGTTATTGAGCGGAAACCAAAAGTTGACGCCCGCCCGCCCGCCGACTTCGGACAATAACCCGACAATAACTTCGACAATAACCCGGTTTTCGTTGAAAACCTGGTTAAAAACCTTTAGACAACTTCTACTTCAGAACCAATTGATGGATGATCACCAAACTTTATCTGTAGCATTCCTCGGTACTCTTTTACCAAGTTTGCTTATACTAATTTAATTAGCCCCTTTAAGCTAAAAATTAGAAAAAAACCTTTGAACATCATTTCCTACTGAAATAATTGATCGATGATCACCGAACTTTGTAGCATTCTTATGGAGTCTTTCATCAAGTTTGCTAATATTAATTTGACTAGCTCCGTTTAAGCTAAAGCTTAAATACCCCAGGTCATGGCATTTCTTCAAATTATTGTTTAAACATATTCTATGCTCAAATTTAATAATAGAATATAATGACATTCCAACACTGAAAAGCAGTTGTTTCTGGTGAGCGACTCAGGGCCATCATGGCCCTCTTGTTTAATATTTTTTGCCAGATGCCAAACATTAAACTCCTTCCCTTACACATGCCTGTCAGTTGCCATAACTTCTATGACAAAACCTTCATTTAAAAGAAAGTTCATATACCTACGGAAACCTTCTGCTTCCATTCTCCCAGAACTGCCTGTTTCAGTTACTTGTACTAACTACAACATATGTTAAAATGGCACTTGTTTCTAAGTCCATAATGGAATAAGTACAGTATTTAGCATTATATCCAGGACTGTCACATCTTCCATCACCAGATAAACGAAGTGGCCTTCCAGATTTTTTTACACTTTGCAGAAGTTCAGACTGAATCTGTTGCCAAGTATCCAACACAACAGGCATCACTTGATCACGTTGTATCCTATAGAAAGTTGTGTCAGACATAAATCCAAGATTCATAAATTTAGCAAACTCAGCTATATGCGTGTACGTCTGCCCACAAAATAATATTGCTGCACTACATGAAAGATTAATTGCCGGCATCTTACCCAACATAGGTCGAGACTTCCTGTTCATGATAGTATGACCAGCTGTACATATTATTTCACATGACAGAAAACTGCCTTCAATATGAGTTCTTTTAATGTCATCTGGGTCAATTGGGCAATTGCAATGGGGCAAGAAATAATTGTTCAAGGGTTGACTCAAACACTATGTACTTCTTTTCACTTACAATAGTACTTTCACTGTCTGTTTTCTCCTTGTCACTGTCTGACTCTGAATCTGTTAAACAAGTAAAAGTTGAATCAGAATCATCTCTGAATGAGGCTTCTAACGCTAAAAGATCCCTCAATTCAGAATCGTCAAGACCTATGCTGATTGATGGGATGTTCAATGCAACATCAGCATCTTTCTTTTTAGGTGTTGAGAAGAGTACCTTACTACAAACATTCTCATTTTCATTAGTTTCGTCCTCAGTCTGCGTACCAACAGATACGGTACTTATTTTGGCACAGAAATTATGATCCTCAGAAATAGCGTCTTTAATTTTAGAACAATACACACAAGGATGACCACACGTGTTTTTGTAAATCTCCCCATTGCTGTTATGGCAGGAAGTCTGAAAATGTAAAAGACATACACTAACACATTATAAAAAGAATAAAAACCTACAAGAGCTGTCACAGGAGACAGCGAAGCTTGACTAACTAGAAATATGTCATCATGCCACGGATGCCCCCGCATGCAACCAAAATTTAAGATGTAATAATATTTAGTTCCAAATTTGTTTGCACAAATTATTTCGAAATTCGAAATTGACCAATGCATTCTATCATATCTTTAATTTGAGTTGAATATGTTGGGGAGATAATGAATGGAAACTGAAAATTTCCTTTTTTTCAAAGTTAAAGGGGCATAACTCTGCCAAAAATCATCAAACCATGACAAAATTCAAACTTGACCTGCACATTTCTTTGATGTATCCATATGTCAAATTTGAGTTGAATGTGTTATAAACCCTAGAGGAAATAATGAACGGAAACTGAAAATTTCATATTATTTTCAAAGTAAAAGGGACATAACTGCCAAACAATAATCGAAACATGACCAAAATTCCCAACTTGACCAGCGCATTCCTTTGACATTACATATGTCAGATTTTGAGTTGAATATGTAAACACTGTTGGGAGATAATAAACAGACACTGAAAGTTTCATATTATTTTCAAAGTGAAGGGGCATAACTCTGCCAAAAAATCATCGAACCATGACCAAATTTAAATTGACCTGCGCATTCCTTTGACGTATCCATATGTCAAGTTTGAGTTAAATGTGTTGTACCGTTGGGGAGATAATGAACGGAAACTGAAAATTTCATATTATTTTCAAAGTGAAAGGGGCATAATTCTGCCAAAAATCATCGAACCATGACCAAATTTGAACTAAACCTGAATTTTCTCATGACATATCCACCTGTCAAGTTTGAGTTGAATCTCTTGTACCGTTGTGGAGATAATGAACGGAAACTGAAAATTTCATATTATTTTTAAAGTAAAAGGGGCATTACTGCCAAAAATCATCGAACCATGACCAAATTCAAACTTGACCTGTAATTTCTTATGACATATCCATATGTCAAATTTGAGTTAAATGTGTGCAACCGTTACTAAGATAATGAACAGAAACTGATGATGACAGAATGACGGAACAGGGTAACACTATATGCCCCGGCCATTATATGGCGGGGGCAAAATTAAATACTGGACGCAGTAAGGAATACAAAACTATAAAAGGAAAGCCAACTAGAACTATCACTAAATGTGATTAATACCCCCGCAAGACTGCTTCGGAAATGAGGATGTTACTAGTAACAGTAACCTTGTAAAGAATTGAAATAGAGTTATGGTTGTGGGCAAGATAGTTATGGTTCTTGTATGTTGCATTTCCTTTCAATGTGGTTGGCCATTGATGAAGTCCAGAAAGACAAAGGAAAAGGAAACAAAGGGCAATAACCCCTAAAAAATACTGAAGATTGAGTTTTATGGTTATTGTACACTGCACTTCCTCTCATTGCGCTTGACCATTGTATGAAGCTGTATTGAATTCCTACTAGTTTTCAAGTTATGCACTGGACAAAAAAAAGTTACAAAGCAATAACTTAAATTAGTCCAAATAGAGTTATTGTTCTTGTGCACTGCACTTTCATCTCACTGCCCTTGACCATTGTATAAAGTTTCATTGAATTCCAACCATTAATTTTCCAAGTTATGCATTACAATAAAAAGTAACAAAGGGCAAAAACTTTTGAATTAGTCAAAAAAGAGTTATGGTTTCTGTGCACTGCACTTCCTCTCAATATACTTGACCATTGTTTGAAATAGTTTTGAATTCCAAACTAGTAGTTTTTTAAGTTATGCTGCTGGACAAGAAAAAAAGCAATGGAAAAGTAACAAAGGGCAATAACTCTAATAATTAGTCTCCTGGAACACAGTTAAAGTTTCTGTGCTTGAACAATTTGTTAATGAAGTTTTTAATTCCAACCAGTAAGTTTCAAAGTATGGCTGGTGACAAGAGAAGTTACTAAAGCGCTAGGGTATGGACATACTGTAATTTAGCACAAACAAATGGCAGTATAATGGTTCTCAAAATCTGTGCACAATGCCAAATCCTGCTCTAATCGTGTGAATCTAAGTACGGAAAAGGGGTGCAGCTACGCACTAAATGAAGTTGAAGTTTTAAATTCCAAACCATGCCTATGATTTTTTTTAAGTTATGCTACTGGAGAACACAGTAAAGAAAAAGTATCATAATGGAGCAATAACTCTAGTAATTTGTAAAATGGAAGTTATATAATCTTGTGCAATGCAATTCCTCTTAATGTGCTTGACATACTGAGCGCATTGAAGTTTGTACTCTGAATTCTCAATCCGTCCAGGGGATAGTTATGGCATTACCAGCTACAGAGGAGAAAGAGTCATAACAAAGGCAGATTATACAGAATTTCATTAAGATACACGATGCAGTATGTTCCTCATGCACTGCACCTTCCTCCTCTAATCAATGGCTTGACCATTGTAATGAAGTTATAATTGAATATGCCGCATCACAATGACCGTACTATAAACACTAGTTATATCTCCAACACTAAAATAAGAGTCCAAAGAGGGAATAATATAGTAAAATGCACTCGCACTATGTGTGCTTGACCATTGATGAAGTTGTTTTGATCCAACCAGGTTTCCACTATGCTCTCTGTGAAGGTCTATAGGAAAAGTAGTACAAAGGTGACGGTAACTCTGTAACACCCAAATGGAGTTGATGACTTCTTTTGTTGTCACTGTCTACCTTCTCAATTGCATCACTTGTACAATCTTATGTATGATGTATATTGAGATTTTCAACTTAACTAATAGTCCGATCTTAAACAGAACGAGGAGCGCCAGTACAATGGAAAAATATATCAAAATGAGCATATAGGAGAGATCGTAGTGTAGCTTGTTACGATAGACGCTTAATGGGTTCTTATGCAAGGCCTTCCCTATTGTGCTTGATCATGATTGATATGAAGTTTATGATTCGAGTCTTCAACACCAGTTAGTTTTGTCAGCTTATGGCTTCCGACAAGCAATTAGTTAATCAAAGGGCTAGATAAACTCTGTAATTAAAGTCAAAGAACTGAGTTAGTAGAAACATTTGATTGGCTTGAGCAATCGAAATCAAAAACCTTTATTCCTACTCAAATGGGTGCTTCGACCACAGTTGAAGGGGAAAGTTAGAGATGATTCACATACCAGAAAGGTGCCTATCAGTAATATACATACATACTCCGGACAAGGAAAATAAAACGGACCGCTGGACCGACAGACAGACCAATCGACCGACCACCGGGTGACTCCTATATACCCCCCCACCCCCCAAAACTTCATTTTTGGGGGTGTAATTATGATATAAATATATTTCTTCTTATGACAAGAAGTTATTGTTGTTAACGTAAATTCCAAGTTCAAGGGGAAAAAATTCTAGAATAGTCACACTATAGAGTTATGGACCTTGTCACACAGCATGTGTGAAATGATAAGAAATATATATTTGAAGTTTGTAGTAAATACCTTAAAAAGTAAAGAAGTTATAATATTTCTTTAAGAATTTTCTAAGTTCAAAGGGAGATAAATCTGAAAAGAGTTATAAACCTTGTCACATAAGATATTGTTTATGATAAGGAATATGTATTTGAAGTTTGAGGTAGATACCTTTAAAACTAAAGAAGTTTAAATAAAAAATAACATTTTTCAGTAGTTTAAAAATCTAAGTTAACGGGCAGATAATTCTTGCAACATTGGTACTAAAGTTATGAATATAAGATATCATGTGGTTAATGATAAGGAACATATATTTGAAGTATGAAATTGATCCCTTAAGTAATAAAGAAGTTACAGTAAAAATAATATTTTTTTAAAAAAATTCTAAGTTCAAGGGGAGATAAATCTGAAAATATTGGGGCTAGAGTTATGAACTGTGTCACATAAGATGTGGTTGATGATAAGGAACATATATTCGTAGTTTGAAATTGATACCTTAAGAAATGAAAAAGTTAGAGTTATGAACCTTGTCACATAAGATGTGGTTAATGACAAGGAACATATATAGGAGGTATGAAGTTGATCCCTTAAGTAATATATAAGTTACAGTAAAAAAAAATAATTTTTAAGGAAAATTCTAAGTTCATGGGGAGATAAATCTGAAAATATTGGGGCTAGAGTTATGAACCTTGTCACATAAGATGTGGTTGATGATAAGGAACATATATTCGTAGTTTGAAATTGATACCTTAAGAAATGAAAAAGTTATAGTGAAAAATATTCAACTGCACTAAAACTTTAATCTGAAATCTGGACGCGGACGCGGCGAGTAGCACAGCTCTCCATATACTTCGTAAAGTCAAGCTAAAAAGTGCCTTCCTACAGCACACTCTTATATTATAAGAACTTGCCTGGAAACAGGAATGATGGCCATTAACATGTATTTAAAAAATTCTCTTGTCTTGAAGAAAAAAAATAAAATAAAGCCACACCCAGGCCTCGATAATTTTTTCAGGGCCAAGAGACCCTCTAAATTTACTCCCCTTCATAAAATGCACTCGCTCTGCATTTGTACGGGCTTTCAATTTGCCTTGAAAAATTTCAAAGACTTAATGTCAGATATATGAATCCAGGATTATGCCGTTTGGAACAAAACATAATTTTTTTTATGCAAATTAAAGATAAACAATACGACAAAGCAAACCACTATTACTTATACAGGTTATGCAATACTTAAAAAACCATGTATTTTATTGTTAAGCAAAAAACGAATTATTAACTTACGTTTTAGAAGAAAAAATGTAAATAAATGAAAAAAAACCAACCTCAGAGAAATTTTCATCTTGATCTGAGTAGGATTTGTGGATATCAGCATCCGGGAAACCTTGTAATTTGACAGCGGTATACATTGGTCCAAGCTCCATCTGTGAATCAAATAGTTATAAACGTTAGATAAATATAAAAGAAGAAAAGGAAAGACAGTCAAACAAGAGAAATAATGAAGCAAAAAAAATTTTTTTTTTTGATTACCTCAACCCCACTACAAATCCATTCCAAATTTAAAAGTGAACAAATACTCCAAAGTTTGAAGTAATATATAGAGGATATTTGTTTGTTTTGCGTGTAAGATTAAAATATAATTTCACTGAGTGAACACCAGATGCAATATTTTCACGAGTGGCGTAGCCACGAGTGAAAATATAATAGCTGGTGTTCACGAATGACATTTATTTCAATCTTATATGTAAAACAAATAAATTTTCTTTTTATTTCATGTTTTTTTAAGTGATTTGAAGTATTTTTTATTGATTTTGCCGCGTAACGTCGCGCATTCTCCTTTGTGACGTCATCACATCATGACGTCACATGATCGATTTTGAAATATAGTTCTGTTAAAGTTCTCTAACTTTGTTACATTTTTAACATGATTTATAGTGACATCGACTTTCTCTTCCTAAAGAAGCAAAATTTACGTATGACGGCATTTTTTTCTGCCTGTTATTCCATTTAGTTATGATATTCTTTTCATTCGCATTCAGATATAGTCCGGCTACAGTGAAAATTATATCTTATAAATTTCACTAGTGGTTTATCAGAATATAATCATCTGATATATTACAATAAAACACTGGAAAGCATGAAATAAATGTAACAGTTTCTGTTTTTGATCTAAATCTGAACTCAGGAAGAAAGTACAAGTCAAAAAAGGGGCATAACTGCAAAAATATGTTATAGGATCATCCCTCTGTCTGAAATAATGTCAAATTTTCATAGTGAACATGTATATAATGTTTGCAGTGAATTAAGAAAACATTAAAGGCCTATCAAGTCTTTAAAAAATGCCATTATTATTGTTCCTAAAACAAAACTCTGCTCCAGTTAACAAGTTAATATTTATTTGCACTATTTAGTATTTTAATGTCTAATACAAATGTTCATAACACTATTATCCAAATTTATAACACATATTTAAATTTGTTTTTATTGTATCTACTGTCAAAGTCGATATATAGTTGATATTTGTCTCTTGATATATCGATACAAAATTTTCTATCAATGACAGCCCTACCTAGAGGGATATGCATATTGATTTTTTCCGACTAAGCTATGATGCCAGAGGGGTAAGCTAAATGAAAACATTCCCTTCCTGTCCTTAAACGTGTTTACTAAGCTTTCATACTTTCAGAGGTGGGTATATGCAGTTTCTTTTCAAGAAAAAATATTTCCCAAACTGTGATTTAATCGCTTAATAAAATCGATAAAATGGATGCGAGGAATTATATTATGAGGGCGTAACCCGAGTTATATAATGTTGCGCATCCGAACAACAAACAGTGATTCTATAAAGCGATAAAATCACAGATTTGGATATATTATTCCGATTCTAACACAACATAACTGTACCTGACTATTTAGCTACATTTCGCCTACTTAGTTTCGCGGGTCGTATTTTTAGTAGTTACGTCATATGTATAATGATTACGTCACATATCTAAGTATAGAATGCCAACAGTTAAAATTTATCATTCACTGGCAAAATTTGTTTCATCTGTCAATAGTTTATACAATATTTGGTTCTGTTCAGGGTAGAATTAAAAGGGGGTAAATAAAAAAAGCATTTAATAAAAATTCAGCAATATGAGTGATTTAATAAATAAAATATTTAATATTTTACTTTCTCTAATAAAGATATGAAATTTCAAACAATAAAATTAAGATTCTTATAAGAAAGGTTTCCTCCATGTTTTGCATCAAAAGTGTGTTTTGTATTGAAAATATTAAATCTGTAAGTCAACTCCTATTCAAAATGAAAGATAACGATGCCAGATTATGAGGGAGCAGGGAGTCTCAGTAGCGGATATCGCCATTCAGATGGATCGACCAAGGTAAGAGATTAGCTTTTTCTAAAATGTTTTCTTGTTCAAAATTTCAATCAAATTGTCATTTTTCATTTACTGCTATATGTTATTAATCTTGCTGCTTTAATTTTATTTTCTAATCTGTCTTTGTTTACTTCAGGTCAACAGTCTACTACACTTTGAAACGGTACGAGGCCACTGGTACCCACAAAGATCGTGCTAGGACGGGGAGGCCAAATGTATCAGACAAAAGAGATGACCGACTATCAGTGCGACCTTCACTGCAAAACAGGAACGCAACAGTGAATGAGCTACGACGAGATTGGCAAACCTCACATGTGTTTGCTTCTGCAACAACAGTGAGACGTCGTCTACATGATGCAAGACTTTATGGTCATTTTGCTTTAAAGAAGCCTTTGCTTTCACCAAGACACAGGCAACTCCGTTTGAACTTTGCCAGAGAGCATGCTGATTGGTCTTGGGTTGATTGGTCGACTGTGATGTTCTCAGATGAGTCTAAATTTAATTTATTCCAAAGTGATGGGGCGTGTTTATGTTCGCAGACGTTCAGTGTGAACAATTAAGAGATGACTGTGTTACCCTAACTGTAAAATTTGTGGGTGGTAGTGTGATGGTGTGGGAGCAATGAGTTATATGGCACTGGAATTCTGTCTGGTGTTGATGGCCGACTTAATTCACAAGGATAAATCAAGATTATTGAGGACTTTGCTATACCTTCGGCGCATTTGTTGGGATATGGTAACAACTTCATCTTCTAGGATGATGGTGCTACCTGCCATAGAGCAAGAATTGTTGAACAGTAGAAAGAGGAGAATGAATTTAAGTGTTTAAAATGGCCTACTCAGTCACCTGATTTTAACTACATTGAAAATTTGTGGCAGATTGTGAAAATTGAACTCAGAAATAAACACAGCCATAATCTCCGTGAGCTGGAACAAAATGTGAAAACTGTTCGGGAATCAGTACGTTATGAATCATGTAAAAGACTTGTAAGAAGCATATCACTAAGGATTCAAGCTGTAATAAGGGCCAGAGGAGGTCACACAAAAGTATTGAAGTAGATCACTACTTTCATAATTTGCATCACGTTGATGTTCAAATTTACTTGTTGTTTATGTGTTATACTGAGATGTTAAATGTTTTTTCTGATTATACAAAACTAAATAAATACTTTTACTAAATTGATCATCATTTCACTTTTGATTTATGTTTTACATTACTTTAATTGTGTAAACAACACCAAAAATAGTTTGTCCAAGTACTTTTGGAGGGCACTGTATATGTGGGTCGTGTTAGAATAATATATTACTTATACATACTGGTTCATGAATATCATTATGATCCAACCCTGGCATATCTTCATAAATTTGGTCACTACCAGCTTCATTTCTTGCACTAAATACATATGATTTTAGTCTAGATACATTTTTGTACATAAATAATAAACCACACTTTCTTAAAAACATCAAAACATAAAATACAATGTAATTTACATTTCTATTTATAGGTTAGAACAATTACACATTTAGCATAAAAATTAAATGACATGTCCTATTATTTTTCATAACTTGTTCAAAATTTTCAACAGGGTTAAATTTAATCAGTAAATGTTGGCAGGAATTTTATGGGGTGACAATCTCCATAATTTCCATCTGTTGAAACAAGCCGAAATCTACACAAAGTGAACAAAAAAAATAAATAAAAAACTATATCAACCCCCCAGTTGATTGTACAAGTTTTACCTGTTTCAACGCAGAAATTTGAAGTTCTTGTTCCTCTAGTGATGTCTTTTCAACAGTGGACTTTCTTCACAGTTGCATATTCAGAAGTACAAGGTGCGAGTTTCGGTATGTTAAGTTCTTCCTTTAACTGAAAGAAATGAAGTTAGATTATTCTTTACTTTCGTCATCTCATCAGTCATTTGAAGAATGCATTCAATTTAACATACTGAAATGAAACTACAGAAAGTATTTAAAAGTGGGACCTGAACAGATTTTTTAATAATAAAAACTAGACTTTTTTCCAATTATAAATGATATATTTTCAAAATAATGTTTTAAATAAACTTAAGAAACATGTATAATATTTATTGAGCCAGTCTTGCGAAAGTCATTATTTTTTAGGCCACAAGGGCCATCACCTTTATTTCTGGCCTGTATGATTTTTTTATCGCCAAGACATTTCACAAATTAAATTATAACAACCGAGTTGAATGTTGAAAATTGTTATAATGTATTATTATCAGTTACATGTAATATCAATGACAATCATTAACAAACATTGGCTTTGTCATTATTGTTTATTTCAGCAGAGTTATCTCCCTTTTGCAATTTGCATACACCATGAGAATATTAATATTCAGCTCAAGTTGACCGCCTGAGTTAAAATAATTATAAGATAGTGGAAATAAAAATACGCAGGACATATGATATATGTAGCTTATAAATGAAATATCAAAGTTCAAGCCGGATATTATAAGCTTTTTGAAACTTTATTCGGAGACAAGGACTGACGTTAAGAGAATTTAACTCGGACAACACGAGTTTCATTCTGCCAGAATCGGACAGACTGTAATGAATTCCTAAAAAATGCTCGATCTAAAATTAATAATACACCAGAGGAACATGTTACAGAATGTAACATTCAAAAGGAACAAAAATAGAGACATGATGAGAGAGCTCTGTCACAATGATTCATTACAAAGCATAATTGACTATACATTAATTATGATTGGAATCGGATGACAAATATTGGCGATACACCAATAAATACTTCTAATTTCTTGTATATAATTCACTTTCATACCTGTTTAAATGATTTTAGTAAAATAAATGTTCTGTTCATACAAATATGTTGTGTCCTGTATAACACCCTTCACTATTTCCTAATTAGATCAGACATAGGCACTTTCCTAATTTAATAGATCTCCAATTTAATGATTACACTTACTTCAACTCTTTAGTATACAGGTAACAACGGCCAACTATAATACTTGTCCTGTTCCGAGTTGAACGATAATGACTTGGAGGCCTAGGGGGTGAAGTTCATTTACGTCTCAGCTGCTTACCCTCAATATTCGATTAATACAGGTGTTATTGAAAGTTGAGTTTCTTAATTTACATAGAATAGCTACTACTGTACTTACCCACTACTCACAACTATGACAGTGTTAGCTTAAGGTCTTCGAGGGTCCCGTTTATATAGTTTGACATGACGTGAACGCTGAAGACAACCCCGTAGGGAAAGTCCACCAATAATCGTGCCAGGAATCTGACACGCTCGTATTCATCCATCGAACATGCCATGAAGTAAAGTGAAGCATACCTTGATAAAACTATATATAATCTGTTGATAAGCCAAGGATGGACAAATAAAAATCTTATTACGAACATAAACTACCTTATAGTTTCCGACAGGTAAGCACTTGGCCGCCATATTGCCAAAATGTTTAACCACGTGATTACGAGATTGACCTTTACGAACCCATGTGCTTCCAATATTTTTATAAATTACTTTTTTTAAAGATATTGAAAAAGGGGATTTACTGACTTTTATATTCAATAAAATCATATTTAAGTACCAAAAATTAATGAAAACAAGAATGTCGAACGACACATATACCGCCTTTCTAGCCATTGACTCACATAATTGGTAATTTTATTACAAAAACTTGCCGAAAATGGCTACATGGAAGTGTTCAATTATGGAAAAATCAACGAAAACCATTTTGACATTTAAGGCCAATGTGACATTGACCTTTGACCTAATGACCCCTAAATCAATAGAGGTCATCTACTTATATGACCAATAACTAGGTGAAATATGAAGACTTTGTGATGAATACCTTCAAGATAATCAGCGGAAACCCTTTTGACATTTAAGGCCCCTGTGACCTTGACCTTTGACCTAGTGACCCCAAAATCAATAGGGGTCATCTACTAGTGATGACCAATCACTATGTGAAATATGAAGACTTTGTCATACATACTTTTCAAGATAATCAGCGGAAACCATTTTGACATTTAAAGTCCCTGTGACCTTGACCTTTGACATAGTGACCCCAAAATCAATAGGGGTCATCTACTAGTGATGACCAATCACTGTGTGAAATATGAAGACTTTGTGATACATACTTTTCAAGATAATCAGCGGAAACCATTTTGACATTTAAGGTCCCTGTGACCTTGACCTTTGACCTAGTGCCCCAAAATCAATAGGGGTCATCTACTAGTTATGGCCAATCACTATGTGAAATATGAAGACTTTGTGATACAATACTTTTCAAGATAATCAGCGGAAACCATTTTGACATTTAAAGTCCCTGTGACCTTGACCTTTGACATAGTGACCCCAAAATCAATAGGGGTCATCTACTAGTGATGACCAATCACTGTGTGAAATATGAAGACTTTGTGATACATACTTTTCAAGATAATCAGCGGAAACCATTTTGACATTTAAGGTCCCTGTGACCTTGACCTTTGACCTAGTGCCCCAAAATCAATAGGGGTCATCTACTAGTTATGACCAATCACTATGTGAAATATGAAGACTTTGTGATAAATACTTTTCAAGATAATCAGCGGAAACCATTTTGACATTTAAGGCCCCTGTGACCTTGACAATTGACCTAGTGACCCCAAAATCAATAGGGGTCATCTACCTGTTATGACCAATCACTGTGTGAAATATGAAGACTTTGTGATACATACTTTTTAAGATAATCAGCGGAAACCATTTTGACATTTAAGGTCCCTGTGACCTTGACCTTTGACCTAGTGACCCCAAAATCAATAGGGGTCATCTACTAGTTATGACCAATCACTATGTGAAATATGAAGACTTTGTGATTAATACTTTTTAAGATAATCAGCGGAAACCATGTGGTCTACCGACGGACAGACCGACAGACAGACCGACATTAGCAAAACAATATACCCCCTCTTCTTCGAAGGGGGGCATAATAAATAAAGACATTATCTTGAATAAAAACATCGAAATCATGTCAATAAAATGTTCTAAATATAGTACACAACTCTATTCAAATCGGTTCCCGCGAATGACGTCATACGAAGTCTCGCGTGGCACCTGAATGTCATGGCCGACTGTTGTCGGCGTAAATTGATGTTTTACAGTTAAATAGGCAATTTTAATGACGGTATTAATATTTTGATACTTTAATTGGTATAGAATGATATTAAAATAATTGTTTTATCGTAAAATGCACAAGGATTGATTGGGTCAAGTGTATTTGCAAGTGAAAAATAAGGTTAAATCAACTTATGTTATTCTGGTTAGGTTTCGTAACGGGTCTAATCCAAAACTTTAATGCCGCATCAGATGAAAAACAAAAATGTTAAATAGCGGCTTATAAAGTTTTGGAAGCCACTTCACCAAATCCCTCCAGAGGCGTGCACGTCGCGGAGAAGGCACACGGCAGGTCAAGGTCAAGTCATCTCAAGTACCAGAGGTGATTGGTTGACCTGTCGTGACTAACTCTGGAGGGTGGCGCTAACAAGAGCCGTTTTATGTCAACCGCCTGTTTGCAGCCGTCACGGAACTTGATGCTTTTCCGGTATTGTCTTTCCTCCATCGAACGAAGTACAGGACTTAGGAAGATCGGCATGAAAAAGACGTCCCCGATGAGACTTCTAGAGTGGACCGGCATGGACGCTGAGATCTCGGACATATGGAATTTCCGGCGCCGAGCTAAAATAAACCTAATACAACAACAACAAAATTTGGAAGCCAGAACTATGACAGTGTCTAATTACCACACAATAACAGTTCAAGCAAAGGCTTGGTTATGTGCATCTGATTGATATAGATCTTTTGTTTCGTAGCAAATATTTTCGTACTTTCAGAATGACTGTGGCAAAATTTTACAAATACATTAAACCTATGTTAATGTTGTCATTTGATTTTTTAAAGAGTCTTTAAATTTTCAAATTAAATATGTATAATACATGTATATTAATATGAAAATGTCCATTCAGACAAATCAGTGTAAGAACTAATTATGAATTCATATATTTTTTTGTGGTTATGTTGTACGTAGTACTACAATGGGGGGTCGGTCTAAAACTGAATTTTAGATAAAATGTCTAATATAAGTGTTGTAAACTTTAATTAGCGGAATTTTAATTGGGACAATAAAGTAAATTACAAAATAAATTTAAAGAACAGAGCATATTTTTATTTGATTTTTATACTTACATGTAGTCTATCTACAAAGTAATCATCAAATAATTAATAAAACAATGTAATGAAGCATATATAATTATGCAAAAAAAAGAAAGCAAAACAATGTGATGTAAAAAATATAAATATAATTATCATTAAACAAGAGCGATCAGTGATCACATGTGTCGCCTCATGATGGCCAATTTCATGTTGGGACAAGTTTTGTGACAGACGGACAGACAGACGGACAGTGCACAACTAGACTTGGTACTGATCATTCCTATACAGTTTGGATAAAAATGCACCAGAAGTTGATGAGGAGTAGTCCGGACAAGCTTTTGTGTATCTGGCAACATACAGAAAAAAAACACCTTTTTATCAAAGGGCCATAACTCGGCCAAAAATCATTCAACCAGAAAACCCGTGCAATATGCGCAAGGACTTGAGCTACAGATCAATCCTGTAAAGTTTCATTGAAATTGCATTAGTGGTATAAGAGAAGTAGTCCGGACAAACTTTAAAAATAAAAATTATCAAAGGGCCATAACTCTGACAAAAATCATTGAACCGGAAAATGCTGACAATATGCACAACAAGACTTGGTACTGATCATTCCTGTAAAGTTTGGATGAAATTGCACCAGTAGTTTATGAGGAGTACTCCGGACAAGCTTTTGTGTATATGGCAACACACAGAAAAAAACACCTTTTTATCAAAGGGCCATAACTCGGCCAAAAATCGTTCAACCGGAAAACCCGTGCAATATGCGCAAGGACTTGAGCTACTGATCAATCCTGTAAAGTTTCAATGAAATTGCGTTAGTGGTATAAGAGAAGTAGTCCGGACAAACTTTAAAAATAAAAATTATTAAAGGGCCATAACTCTGACAAAAATAATTGAACCGGAAAATGCTGACAATATGCACAACTAGACTTGGTACTGATCATTCCTGTAAAGTTTGGATGAAATTGCACCAGTAGTTTATGAGGAGTAGTCCGGACAAGTTTTGTGACGGACGGACGGACAAACAGACACACAGACAGACGGACAGACAGACGACGGAGAAGTGATCCCTATATGTCGCCACTACTCCGTAGAGGCGACACAAAAAACGTGTTTATCATATCAAATCACTATATATCTATATTGTCTACGTTTCTTGCAAGTGCTATATACTCTTTATCGTCTGCATTTTACTATATGTTCTATACTGTTAATAAAAGAAATACAATTCTGCAAAATTCATTTTCACTATATATCTATATTGTCTGCGTTTCTTGCAATTCCAAGAATTCCCCATACCATAACACTCTCACCTCCAAATCGGTCCCTTTCAATGAGACAATTATCAGCAAAACCTTCCCCTCTTCTTCTAAAAACTCGAATTCGACCGTCATAATGACTTAGGTTAAACCTAGACTCATTCGAGAATAGAACCCGAGCCCACTGCTGTCGCCCCCAACGGAAATGTCGTTGCCCGATGACGTGCTGTAAGCACTTGGCCCACACAGGGCCTCCTTGGCCGAATGGGTTGCCGGGCTTGCCTGAGGCGGCGCAACACTGTCTTTTTGCTGATACCATACTGCCTTACAGAACTTGTCGCCGTTTGAAAACGACGTAGAAGGTGCGTCAACGTAGTGAATCTGTCCGTTCGAGGGTTTGTAACCCTCGGTCTACCGGGTCTACGACGATCTGCTACCCCACCTGTTTGTCGGTAACGTTGGCGCAACTAAAATATTGTGTTTCTGTGACAACCGAACGCTCTTCTGACGTTGGAGACGTTATCGCCACGAGCAACCATCGTTTATGCTTGAATTCGCTGATTTTGATTCAGTCTAGGCATGTTGAGTGACAAGCGCTGTAAAATTAAATGTGTTTTTCCCAATGTAGTGGGTATAAGGATTATGTCTATACACATTTCCTGTGACATGTACCTTCGCCTCGGACTGCACGTGCAAATCATGCTATATTATGTATTGCCATATAAAGCGAAAATTCCGTGCAGCACGGGATAGATTTTATATTGGATCGATGTAGTGTGTACTTAGGACTAACAATGCAAAATTTGCAAAAGAAACGTCTGTTAATTTTCTAAATATTCAACAGTAAAAAGTGCACACTTTCTTTTGGAACCGAGTATATAATTATACTCTACATCTTCTGCATTTTACTATATATTCTACACTGTTAATAAAAGAAATACATGTCTGCAAAATTCATTTTTACTATATATCTATATTGTCTGCGTTTCTCGCAAGTACTATATACTCTATATTGTCCGCATTTTACTATATGTTCTATATTGTTAATAAAAGAAATACAGTATTTATTCTGCAAAATTCATTTTTACTATATATCTATATTGTCTGCGTTTCGTGCAATTCCTATATCGTCTGCATTTTACTATATATTCTATACTGTTAATAAAAGAAATACATGTCTGCAATTTTTTTTCACTATATATCTATATTGTCTGCGTTTCTTTGCAAGTACTATATACTCTATATCGTCTGTATTTTACTTTATGTTCAATACTGTTAATAAAAGAAATACATGTCTGCAAATTCATTTTCACTATATGACTATATTAACTGCGTTTCTTGCAGGT